AATAATTTTATATGTGATTGCTTAAAGTTTTTTAATATTTCAATATCCTTAAATTCTAGCAACGGTAAACAAATAAAATGTTATGTCTTATTATCAGTTCCTCCTTCTTCTGTCACTGTCTCCTAATCTGCTTTCTCATAGCATTTTCAAGAAATGTTTTCTATCAGTCTAGGTATTTTAGGTTCAACATTTAAATATTAGTTTGTAAAAATTGTTTGAAACTCTTTCTAGAATATGTTATATTTAAACAGATGCATAAAAATACACATACTTAACTACATGTATATTTATATATATTATATAAACTAGTATATAAATGAACATAGGAAAAATGAGTGTAGGGAAGAGTTAATATCAATTTTCTCAGTTCTAAATATAGAGCCAGGAATCCAAACTATGATTGTTTATTTGAACCTGATAAGTTGGACTACTTTCTAAAATTTTATTAAATTATTTTTTAAAGTTTCTGGTAAAGTTGTTCTAACATTACAATTCTTTCTTTATATACTATGCATATACCTTGGTATGTCTTAGAAGAAATGAAAAGGACATTTTCATTAAATATAGCACTAAAGCCAGTCTTTGTAATTTAACTCAGTTCAAGTCAGCTTTTTCAGAAAATCGGCAAAAAGTAGCTCTTGAATCAATAGATTTAGAGTTATTAGATGTGAAGTAAAACCAAGCTCCAGTGTTTCATGATCTATAAAAAACTTGGAACTCTGAAGTTCTATTTTTTAAACGAGAAAATTAAGAGTAATGGCATGGACTCTTGCTTCTAAACATGTTATAAAACTCCAGGGAAAATGTACTAACCGGAAAAGTAAATGTTAGGGCTTTTCAGTGTTACTTGATGATACTTACTTTGACTTCTAAGGTCACTCAGAAAAATGTCTTTGTTTGGTTATTTCACCTATTATCTAATTTTTACATTAGTAATTAATCTCATGTTTTTCTTATCCTCCCATAATTTCTACCACATGTTTTCATAGTATATCTATATGACACATATTAATATAAATTACTTTCTATTTCCCACAATTTAATGCAAATTAAAGATTATTGTGACTTCTCACTAGAATGTTTTTAAGTAACGGTATCCTTTTATATCACAGAAGTTTGAATTTTTATTTCAACTTCATTGACTTAAAATATCACCGTTGGTAAATACTTTTGCAAATACTCTATAGATTTATTAGTTTAATCTTTATATTTCTAAGAGGTAGGTCAATCATTTTGTTTATCTTTTATAGGAGAAGAAAATGAGGCTGTCAGTTAGATATTTTGCCCAAGATATTAGAATCTAAGACATAAGGATTAATCTTTTAAATTCAGTCATTTCACTCTTTATTTCATCCCCTACCATCTCTACTCTTCAGTCTCTCTATCTTAAGTAAAATTGTGAATAAGGGGGAAGGGTAGGGGGGAGCGGGGTAAAAAAAATTGTGAATAAGTGGTTCTATATGTGTATGGAATATGGCGTTTTCTCCTTTATAGTGGGGGACATAAGGACTCACACTTACTTAAAAAGTTCTCACCCCCATTTAATAATATTTAAAATAGTATCTTTAGTTTTGCATATATTATTTGTGCCTTTCTTATTTTTGATTGTTTGGGGGTCACACCTGGCAGTGCTCAAGGTTTACTCTTGGACTTGTGTTCAACTATTACTGCTGGTGGTACTTGTGGGACCATATGGGGTGCCAGAACTGAAACCCAGGTCAGCTGATGCAAGACATCTTATTTTACTTTCTCACCACTTACCTCCCTTTCTCAATATGCTCAAGCAGAGTGGTTTTATTTTTATGAAAATATCATGAAAAACTTACCATGTCAGGATCTTATACTCTAAATTTGAGTTTTGTTTATTATTTATATCTCTGCCAAGATTCACTAGAGCAGAAGATCTTCTTTGATAATGAGTATCTATGCAAATTATTTTCTATTGTAAAATAAGTAATTCAAATCCAATACCAAAACAACAATCATTGTAATATGTTACTAGAATATCTGGTATGATCAGCTGTGATCTTGGCCGGGTAAATGTATGGTTCTGCAGATTCAAAGACCTGGATATACAGAAACAGATAAAGTCTGACCTGAACAGGGGAATGCTCTGCTATATTGTTAGCTCAGTCAGTCATGCCTTTATCATGATGGTAAGGGAAGACTAAAAGAAAGAACTCACAGTTCCATAAATCGTTTTCATGTCCACTGACTAAGATTTTTCTCTTGATGGAAAGTTCTGCAAAACTTCATGATTAAGTGTATATTAAGTGTATAATGAAATATTCATTACTATATGGATAAATAAAATTTATCCATATCAACGTATCCAAAGTAAATATTTATACTTTGTCTTTCTCTGTTTGAAAATTGTATTTTTTCTTCATTATTACATCCTCTAGTGCAGAGATCAGTGCTTAATATGTATAGACAGAGATAATATAAAGGTATAAATATGTCTTAAATCAGTTTTATGTAGAGAGATACTAAAGAAAATGGGATCAAATGTGAAAAACAACTTGCCTTGCATTACAAAATAAGATTATTAACAAGTGGGGCAAAGATAGGGAATGAAAAGGTGAGCTAGAAGGATCCTGATTGATAGTACTATTTTGGTCTCAATGGGATATAGTAATTTCATACATCAATATAATAAGCATCAGTGCTATTGCAACTATGCTACTAAACTATAGAAAAAATTAAATACAAGTTAGATTAGATTTTCAACCTTTCACCACTGAAATGTTGCCACCATCATTTCTTGTCCTAGTGTTTGTGTGCAAAGCACTAATATTTTCAAATTTGGAAATAATCACACTTTTTAATTTGTTTTTGGTTTGGGACCCTATCTGGCTATACTCAGTATTTGCTTCTGGCTTTAAGTTTATGGATAACTTCTGGCAATGTTTGTAGGGGTCTATGGATCACTGGGTATCAAACCCAGGTCAGCCAGTCCAAGGAAAGAGCCGAACCTACTGTTCTATTTCTTTAGAGCTTAGAAATAATTATATATTTTTATATTTCATTATACTTCATTATCTGGAATCAAATAAGTGATGTTAGAATTATGAATTCTCATAATCATCATGTATATACAATAAATATACCTTTTGATTATTTCATTGTTTTATTGATCTGTTCATATTTTGATTGTCTTCATACTCTCAAATATTCCATGCACATTGTTTCAATCTGAGAATCATAGATGTTACAAAAATATAAGTAGTTCTATTATGCTACCTATAATTTTTTTACTAATATTATAATTTCATATCAATTGTCCTTTCTTTTGGGATCAAAGATAATGACTGCATTTAAAGCTTTGCTTAGTAATACTGCCTCTTCGTGTTACCAAAATTAATTTTTAATCACCTCTTACTTTAACAACGGGCTGGAGCGATAGCACAGCGGTAGGGCGTTTGCCTTGCACGCAGCCAACATGGCCGACCTGAGTTCGATTCCTCCGCCCTCTGGGAGAACCTGGCAAGCTACCAAGAGTATCTTGCCCACAAGGCAGAGCCTGGCAAGCTACCTGTGATGTATTCGATATGCCAAACACAGTAACAACAAAGTTTCCAATGGAGACGTTACTGGGCCCACTCGAGCAAATTGATGAATAATGGGAGGACACCGACAGTGACAGAATTTAACAATAGTTCTAATTATAATATAATCATATACTATTTGGCTATTGTATTAAGTGCTACATGACTATAGTTTGTAGCAAAACTATAGTTTTGTAGCAAAATAAATTATCTTTTTTGACAACAGTTTTTGTGTTTGGGATGAGTCCAAGAAGTCGAATCACTGAGTTTATAAAGAGTCTGGGATATTTACTCTCTTATCCATAGAGAATGAAGTGGACAACATTCCCATCATTTTCAAACATATTATTTCTTATCTCTGGCCATTACTATTTGCTTTTGTAGCTCATTCATAATATTAGCAATTTTAGAGATTTTGTGAACTAAAGTGAAGCATAATTTTAAAACTCAATAGTGAAAAGAATGGCTATTAGTAGATCAATTTCTTAAACCTCTTGAGTTTTCATAACAAAACACCATAGACTAGATAATCCAAACAACAAAAATATACTTTCTCAGTTCTAGAGGCTAGAAGTCTTGAGGATTTTCTTGAATTATAGTGAGAATATTTTCACTATGTTCTCACCTAATGCTTAGGCTGTGTGAGCTTGCCAGAGAGAAAATTCTAATGTCTCTTTCTCTTTATATAAAAAAAAATAGTCCTATGGTATTAGATCCCTTTTTTTTTTGTGGCCTCATAGGCTTCATTACATTCCTAAAAAAACTTATCTCCAAATATATTTATTTGGATTTAGAACTAAATAGTATAAATTTTCAAGAAAAAAAAAACGGAAAATGTAAACTGATGTATTTAGGTAACAGGCATTTTCTAGTACGTGTGTTAGATATTTGGAAACAGAAATAGCTTCATTAGAACATCATATATATATATACATATATACACACATGTACATATATAATATCCCTGTCCCTGTCCTCCTGTTTTTTATCAATTTGCTTGAGCGGGCCCAGTAACATCTCCATTGTGAAACTTGTTACTATGTTTGGCTTATCAAAGCCCTCACGGCTAGCTTGCCAGGCTTTGCCGTGCGGGAAAGATACTCTCGGCAGCTTGCTGGGCTCTTCCAGAGGGGCAGAAGAATGAACCCGGGTCACCCAGGTCAGCCGTATCAAACGCTTGCAAGGCAAATGCCTTACCCGCTGTGCTATCACTCCAGACATATAAAATATAGTATAATATAATGTATAAAATATGTGTGTAATATATGTGTGTATTTTTTTATTGATCATATTCATCTCGCCTAAATAACTGACCATGCAATATGTGTTTTTAACCTGGCTTCTAAGTTAATCTCATAAGATAATGAAAAATATATTTGTCAATGAATGAACAATTCTTTGGTAAAAATGAAAATTATAGAATTTAATTAAATGCTCGGTTTTATTTCACAGGCCCAACTGCTTACTGAACTGGAACAGAAATTAGTTGTAGCCAGAAATGAATTAGAAAAAGCAGCTCTTGACAGGGTAAGTTATAGATGTTAACCATCATATCTTTAATTTAGCATGCAAATCTAGGGGGTTTTCCTGATTCCTTGCCCAGATTTATTAATGCAAATCTAGATCCTGTGCATATGAGTTGGTTGTAGAATTCTTAAGTGCCATGTTCTCTTGGCAATCAAATTCTTTATTGTTTTTTTGATGATACAATAAATTTTCTCTAGATTCAGATTCTGTGGGTTCATGGCTTCATTCTTTACAGTCCTGGTACATTTATTCGCTTAACACCAGGAATAAACTTACTTTAAAGCACCAGTAAAATGGCATGCAGTAAATCTGAATGGAGAAGTTATGAAAAAATATTAGTTTTTGATACTTTTCAATTCGGAAAACTTAAATCAGAGTTCTTATGATAGTGGAAAAGAAAGAGGTGAAATTCTCTTAATTCTTCGTATGAAAATTATAGAAGAATGGTGCCAGATATTAAAAAAATAAATAAAAGCTTTTATCATATTTTAAGCAATTCACATGTCATAAAAACCATAGATTTTATATATTTGTAAAAACTGCTACCACTAATTTTAAGACCTTATATTCATTACCTTTAATATGACTTATTTAATTTTTAATCTCTAAATATTTCATTTTAATCTCTAAATTTTAATATAATCTTGTGTAAAAATCAATAACACTGCCATGTGATATACATCTTTGCTTTTCATTGAACTTTATTTGGACATTCATAAAGATGAGACATTAGTATATGGAAATATTGAGGAGGGAATTGACCATATGTTTAGAATACTGTTAGAGTAATATCTTTTTTAGCAAAATGTCTTACTGCTTTTTACTTTAATTTTTAAATAAAAAGTACCTTCATAAAATAGTGTAAAATAAATATCTTCTTTACTTAATACATTCAAAAATAAGGATAAAGTGATTTTTAAAATAAATGTTTGTAAATTGCACTTATTTGTTGAGTATTTGATATTTCTTAGTTAGCCTTAATCTTAGTTAGCCTTAAAATAAATTGTTTGATTAGATTGGATTTATCAGTCTTTATCCTACCTAAAAATGAAAAGGAAGGGGCCAGAGTGGGTAGGGTATTTGCCTTGCACACAGCCTACCCAGGTTCGATTCCAAGCATCCCATATGGTCCTCCGAGCACGCCAGGAGTAACTCCTGAGTACATGAGTCAGGAGTAACCCCAACGCATCGCCAGGTGTGACCCGAAAAGTGAAAAATTATAAAAAGAGAAAATTCTGTGTAATAGGATTTTACTTAGGTAGCATAGTTTATTTATACACATATTTTGACAAATAAAAACATTCACATATATGTGGGAAACTAAAACAATTTGATAAATGGACAGAATAGGCAGACAAACGTAAGTATATTTAATAGTTATTGCAGTAAACAAATGACAAATTATATAAAAGGGAATTTCAATAGGTAAAATTTCAAAGGTAAAATTTATTGAAAATTAAATGATTTTTCTAGGCTAAAACAATACTTACATTTACAATGTAATCAGTATTTTAAATATGTGCTCAGTGGTAACTGAATAATTGTATATAATAGTAATGAAGATGAGTAAATAAAGTTAATATTAATATATAATACCTATACCAAGCTTTAGATTTTGGAAAAATAATGTACCTATTCCAATACAAAATTTTTTACTTAGAACACAAGTAAAGAAGAAAATTGCATTCATAGACTGCTTTTATGATAATATTGAAAGCATGTTTAGTGATTTAGTAAAAATTTTACTCCTAGTCACCATTTTTGTACAAATGTATTTTTATATATAATAGAGGAGATAAAACATTTTTTGTTTTTATTTTGAATTTTTTTGAGCCTATGTTTTCCTTATTATGTAGAAGCTATAAAGAATCTGGCTAAAACTAAACTCAGGGATTTGTTCTCATCTCAGGAATTTTTTCACCTTGATATGATAAAAAATATATTTAATTTTTATATGACTTACTTTTTACTCATAATGTCTATAAAGTGCTTGAGTAGAGGAATTAATAATGCCATATATAAAAAATAATGCCATATAAATTCCAGTGATATTCCTTCTTAAAGTTTAGAACACTGGGAAAATATGACTTTAGAGTGATTAGGTATTTTAATCACTTAACTCCTTTTGTATTAATATATCTAAAGATTAATATAATATTTGCTAAAGGTAAGTCCAAATATTTCTGGAGCCAAACCAAGCATACTCAGGGCTCACTCCCCAGGCAATCAGGGATTCTTCTGGGGAGCTTGGTTTGCAAGGGATTGAAACATGGTCAGCAGCTTGTAAGGCAAGTACCTTGTCTGCTATACTATCTCTCTATCCCATATTTTAAATAATAATAATAATAATCCCATATTTTCTTTTATAAAAAACAATTTATTCAAATCTCTCACTACAACGCATTCATTCTGCACAGTATTTTGAAGGAAGGGTAAGAGGAGTGACACCTAGTGATGTACACAGGTCGCTTTGGCTCCCAGTTAGGGGTCACTCTTAGCAGTCAGAAATTGAACTGTAGTTGGTCACACAAAAGGAAATCAACAAAACCCTTGTACTGATACACAATGCTATTCTTTATAAAGAAAGATATCTTTATGGAATTTATAGATTCAGATGAGGAGCATAAATCTAATCGGAGAGTTGAACTAAGCCACATTTTTTGTTTTTCCTTCCTGACATGTCTGTTCCAATCCCTGCAGTACACTTGTCTGTCACAAAACCCGCAGAACTGCCATAAGCTTGAGGTAGGGTACTGAGAGTTTCTAAGAACTTGGGATGCCATCATATGTGAGAATATAATGTAATGTTCCTTATTTTATACTGTATTTTATATGAGAAATGTATTAGAGCAGACATTAAATTACTCATTTATACTGTACAATGTTTAGAACTTATATTTAGTTATCTTTTATTATTGATATAAAGGTTTACATTTTTGCAGTTCTTGCTATTAAAATATTCTCTTTTATGGTACATGTATTCCCTGACTAGACCTCATATAAATCATTTTATTGATCAATGTCTAACTAGACTTGGAATACCTTTGGTGTACTAAGAGCTGCTGGAAGTGGAAAACACGTTTAATATGTGGTTTCAGGTTCCACAGCTCTCACTAATTCTCTTAGACACCAACAACTAGAAAATAATTTCATGATGAGCTAGTCAGTAGTAGAGGCACAAAAAATAAATTTATATTTTTAACTTTTTGTGACTTACAGAAATGGATATAATTAATGTAACTAGACTTATATTACAGAACCCAGGATATTATAGATTATTAGCTTCCCTTTTCTTAATCATTTTGTTTTACTTCTCTCAAAATATACACCCAACTATTTACTTGTTCCATATAAACCAACAGTCTTCTTTTAGTGTGAGAAACTCTTTGAGCAGTGATCGATGAATGATCCTATGTTCCTGACCATGTTCAAATTGTATCTTTACCACTGAATGATTATATTTCAATCCTTCAAACTCTTTATGCTCTATTATTATGGAATTATAATCACACTTATCACCTAAAGGTACTAGGAAATTTATATCTACAAAAATACAAAATTCTGGGGCTGGAGCAATAGCACAGCAGGTAGGGCATTTGCCTCGCATGCGGCCGACCCGGGTTCGATTCCCAGCATCCCATATGGTCCCCTGAGCACCGCCAGGAGTAACTCCTGAGTGCACAGCCAGGAGTAACCCCTGTGCATTGCCAGGTGTGACCCAAAAAGCAAAAAAAAATACTAAATTCTTGGTTTATGGAGAATATTTACTTAGGACACTTAGGGCAGTAATTGTTATTATAAGTGAATTGGATATAGAGACTGCCTCTCATATTGATTTTACCCTTTTACATTCAGCATATTGTCACCCTTGGTTTAAAATGAACCATAAAAACATGTCCTTATTACTGAAGGTTCATTTCAACAAATATTATGTAATATATGTATGAGACTCATAAACTATATCCATAAAGTCATGTAGAAATACTAGCACACTTCAAAAGGGATAAAGAAAATACAGTTTGATAAAATTGTTTTTCTCTTTGCTCTATCATCTTTTTATGAGAAATTTTACTCTACCCTATTCCAATATCTATCTCCAAAGAATATTATATCTGAGTTTATGATAACCTTAAATACCTCATAAATATTTTAAAAACAAGATCTTTATACATCTTGTTTTCCATGAATTATTTAATAAAAAGAAGTCTCAGTTAACTATTCCAATATAAGCAACCATACAAACACAAGATCCAGAAATTAATCTCATTTTCTAGAAAATAAATTACACATTTGGTCATATTTTATGAATTATAGTTAATCTCAGCTTCTGATTTATAAAAATATCCTTTGGTCTTGGATATATATTGAGAAAATTATTATTTAATAAAACATTTTCTCTTGTTCCTGTATTGTTTTTGAAAATATTTCATCAGAAACCCAGGTATAATTACCTTTATAGTACAGCTGACATAAATTAGGAAATGTGTGGAGATTCAGTACAGAAGTAAATATTAAGAAGCATGAACTTTTTATCAGCATGCATCTGGCTTGAAGGAGGAGCTTATTATTGATTGCAGAGAAAAATGAAGATCTTTATAAATTACTCACATCCTAACTGATCAACCTACATGCAAGAGACCTATAGCAGAAATAAAACAATGTAGAATTTTTAAGACTATGGAGTTTATTTCCTGGCAAGTTTTAGTCCTTGAATTCATAGACCTTGCAGTCTTCCCCACCCAGCAGCTAAGGTTGTATCTAGATCTTTCTGAGGACTCAGTGTCTTCATGTAAAATAATTTAGACATGAAAAATTTGCTCACAATTTTCTGTCTGATCATAAATGAGGAACACACTTGGTTTTAAAAGGTAATCCTTCTGTTGTGAAAAAAATCATGCATTCTCTGTGAAATATTCTTATATGAACAAACAATTGCCCTTTAAGTCTCTCATCTTAGAGTATACATAAGCAATAATTTTATAATTGTTACATATTATATG